TAACAATACATGAGAATTGGTTGGTTAATTAAAATATTGTAACATTTTTAGATTTTAAAAAAATAATTATACTCGTTTATGATAATTTTACGATTCAATATTTTACGCGTAAAACGCATACAAAAAGCTGCGAGAAATATTAATCAAAAGACTCTGAATTAATTAACGATAATTAGCAGCATTCGAAATTCATCGAGCAATCCATGGGTAGTAGCGCGCGCGAAGTATCCTGAGAAACTTCTCTCTCATGTATCTTAACACGAGACTTTAATCTATTTAGTAGCGCCTACAGTCCGGAAGTGATGAGGAACGAGGTCGAGGAGGATCCATCGTTGTTGCGGTCCGCGGGACCAGTGAATCCTTCTCGGCTATTTGCCACGGTAATATATATATACCGCGCACGCAACACAGGATACGCACCGCTGTCACACGCGTGCATGTATATACAATACACGCGGGACACATAGACGACGACTGACCGGCCACTGCGGAATGCAGTTATTATTCAACATTTACGCTTGCCTGCTCGCGAACCAAGTCGCCCCGCCGGGCTCATTAATATGTGAGCGGATATGCGAGAGAATTGTAGCGTATCTGCGCGCGCGGCCCCGACAAGAGTTAACGGATTTGTGAAAATAAAAAAAAAAACATAAAAAAATTGGGAACGCGAACGAGCGGGCGAGGCGAGAAAAATCGGACGGCGGTGCGCGAATTGCACTTGAATTGTGCAAAATCGCGGAGATGGAAGATTTCGATAACGTACAGCGTTTTTATATCGTATCTTTGTTCTATTTTTTTAAGGGGAGGGGGGGGGGCAAAGATATAAGTACAAATAAATGGTAAGAAAGTTTAAATAGATAGGAGAGATTGAAATCGATTGTAACGTTCATAATAAAAACGTAATGTGATGTTATCTAAGTACTATTATGCATATAATACACGCGCATGATGTAAAATTTACGTGTGACTTGCGTAATTTATTGCGCAGAATGAATGCGTTGTACTACGCTTCTTTTAATGAAGAAATTTTTGAGAAAGTGGAAGATATATAAGTCTAATAAGGTGAGAGCACGCACATATACATAGCGATAGGAATTATTTAACGCCATATCTATATTGAGGGGTACACGTTGTCAGCTGGCATATAGTCATAAATGGGAAATGAACGAAGACAGCTGCCATTCCCGGCATACCGTGATCGTTATACGTGCGTGCTGTGTACTTGAATGTTCAAGAATTTATTTTATCGCACACGTGTCTAACGAACAGAAGGGGAGGACGATTTTGGTTCGCCTCGTATTTTCATGATTTATCCGGTGGGAACCGGAATTGTATAATGAGCTTTATTTGCGAGAAAGTCTCGACGGAACTTGGCATTTCTATTTACGCGCGTAATCCAGGACGTGTAAAGTAATTTCGTATTTATAAGTGCCACTTCGTTGATTGTAAATCATCGTAAGATGCAATTTTTTTCGATTAAGATTAAAAAACCAAAAAAGATTATAGGATTTATTATTAAAATAATATTGTAATTAGCATCGATGATAATTTTACGTGTACGTTACGTGTTATCGCAAAAATAATAAATAAAAATAAAATCAGCTGGTACAGCCATAAAATGACGTTTATAAGCATTTTGAGATAACAGCTCTAATTGGCTAAAGCAATTTGAAAATAATCGGATCGTCGAGTATACTATACGGCGATCATAATTCAATCGCTCACAATATCAGACAATTCTTTAGTCCTTAGGTTTTGCCATCTTATTTCCAGCTCTTTCAGCTGGAATTAACGGGTTGGGGTAATAAGTAACAACCGACAGAGCTGCAGCAGCAGCAACGGCGGCGGCGGCGGCAGGCAATCTATTTAGAAAAGAATTCAGGTCTCTTAAAGCCATTTAACGACCCGTAATTCCAACTCTTTAAAACGTTTCAGCATTCACGCCAAACGTGAAACTCCTTCACGATGCGAACGCCTCGTTTCTAACGTAATGAGCGTACCGTAATCAGAATTGCGCTTTTGCCATCCTTGGATTTCCTTTCTTTCTGATTTTTCCACGGGGACAAACTTTTCGTGCGACAGTCGCTCATGTCCGAATGTAAACTACGGTTCGCGTTACCGTGATTTTTACTCGGATGTTGTGCATAGAGATTGCGCACTTTTCATGAACAGTAATAACTTTTGATTATTTAAACGTTTTGTATCGACTTCTATATTTTTTTTGTAAAAACCACTCTGCATTCTAAATGAATGTAAAAAATTAAAAGCCCAGAATTGGTTTAAAACAAACGTTGTTGAAATAAGCGCATTACGTAGTGCATTTTGCCTGATTATCCGAGGATTTATCGTGAACCTGAGGTCAGGACATTATTTTCACCAATCGTGACGATCTATTAAATCGCCTCTTTAAATTTTTTTAGCCTTAAAATTGCAACGAAATAATAGTAAACTAAACGTACAATGCGTATGACTTTATCACACAAAGCTGTAATAATTTTCATCAGCTATCATATAGTTCAGTTAACAGATATAATTATGTATGTATGTAGCATACACTTCTTTTCTTCAGAGATATCTTTTGATATCTTTAGATCTCTTTCTCAATCATCTTTAATTATTTTTCTACATTATTTACTCATCATTATTATAATGCACAAAGCAATGTTGTTTATTCTTTATCTTCCCGAAAACATCACAGACTGTTACAAAACTTCTCTGAAAAAAACTTCAATGGAAAAACATCTACTTCCATCATCTAAAAGCCTGCGCGGCTTCATTTCGCGATTGCCGGACAACGATGCATCACGAGAGATGGTTTAATTAGCTAAAGTGACGATTATCGGACGCGTTACTGTTATCGGCACTGCACCTGCGCCTTCTATCTTGGCCGGGAAAGATTCCGTGCTGTTCGAGCCGCTAACCGTGCGAGCCGTGCACCGCTCGCGTGCACCACGCCTGCAAGAAAGAGAGTTGTATCATAGGTGACCATGTAACCCGGGTGGTGCTCGGTTGCACTTGGTGCAATGTACAAGTCGAGCGTGTAGTCCACACCGATCTGACGGGGCGGGAGAGGAGAGTAGGAGGCTGCTCCGTATTAGACGTGGATACAACTTACAACGGCAATCTCTATCCATATCGTTGCCGTTAAAACGGGGGATCCCCCTTCGCCCTCAAACCAGGCGGTGGGATTATCGCTTGCGACGGCCGCTCGGGGGCCCCGCGTGGATTATAGTTTTTCTGGAGGAGAGGGTGGTGGAGCGCCTTGCTTGCTTTCGAAAGGATGGTGATTGTGGAGCGTGTCCAGAGTAGAGTTAGGCGTATATAAGGCCCGCCGACCCGGCCCAAGTCAGTCATTCACCGGACTACCAGCCCAATACACACACCAAACATGAAGGCCTTTGTGAGTATTCCACGGCTTGGGGTTGGTGAGGTGTTCGCGAGGTGTTTAACTCGTAATCTCTTTGCGCTCTCGATCGGACTTTATTAGATTTTGCTGCTTGCACGTATTCTCGCTCGCGTCTTTGTTGCTCTAACGAATAAATAGTTTCTCGGTAATTTTACTCGAAAATTATGTGTTTCCTCGAGTTCATCCGTCTTTTGATCGGATTGTTTTCATTCTCTATTGTGAATAAATATAGTGTCAATTTCAAAACTTAGAACGATCTTTAAATTACTTCGACTTTTTTCTTCTAACAATATTACTCGTATTTTTTTCTGATAATTTCGTGCGACAGTCGCTCATGTCCGAATGTAAACTACGGTTCGCGTTACCGTGATTTTTACTCGGATGTTGTGCATAGAGATTGCGCACTTTTCATGAACAGTAATAACTTTTGATTATTTAAACGTTTTGTATCGACTTCTATATTTTTTTTGTAAAAACCACTCTGCATTCTAAATGAATGTAAAAAATTAAAAGCCCAGAATTGGTTTAAAACAAACGTTGTTGAAATAAGCGCATTACGTAGTGCATTTTGCCTGATTATCCGAGGATTTATCGTGAACCTGAGGTCAGGACATTATTTTCACCAATCGTGACGATCTATTAAATCGCCTCTTTAAATTTTTTTAGCCTTAAAATTGCAACGAAATAATAGTAAACTAAACGTACAATGCGTATGACTTTATCACACAAAGCTGTAATAATTTTCATCAGCTATCATATAGTTCAGTTAACAGATATAATTATGTATGTATGTAGCATACACTTCTTTTCTTCAGAGATATCTTTTGATATCTTTAGATCTCTTTCTCAATCATCTTTAATTATTTTTCTACATTATTTACTCATCATTATTATAATGCACAAAGCAATGTTGTTTATTCTTTATCTTCCCGAAAACATCACAGACTGTTACAAAACTTCTCTGAAAAAAACTTCAATGGAAAAACATCTACTTCCATCATCTAAAAGCCTGCGCGGCTTCATTCCGCGATTGCCGGACAACGATGCATCACGAGAGATGGTTTAATTAGCTAAAGTGACGATTATCGGACGCGTTACTGTTATCGGCACTGCACCTGCGCCTTCTATCTTGGCCGGGAAAGATTCCGTGCTGTTCGAGCCGCTAACCGTGCGAGCCGTGCACCGCTCGCGTGCACCACGCCTGCAAGAAAGAGAGTTGTATCATAGGTGACCATGTAACCCGGGTGGTGCTCGGTTGCACTTGGTGCAATGTACAAGTCGAGCGTGTAGTCCACACCGATCTGACGGGGCGGGAGAGGAGAGTAGGAGGCTGCTCCGTATTAGACGTGGATACAACTTACAACGGCAATCTCTATCCATATCGTTGCCGTTAAAACGGGGGATCCCCCTTCGCCCTCAAACCAGGCGGTGGGATTATCGCTTGCGACGGCCGCTCGGGGGCCCCGCGTGGATTATAGTTTTTCTGGAGGAGAGGGTGGTGGAGCGCCTTGCTTGCTTTCGAAAGGATGGTGATTGTGGAGCGTGTCCAGAGTAGAGTTAGGCGTATATAAGGCCCGCCGACCCGGCCCAAGTCAGTCATTCACCGGACTACCAGCCCAATACACACACCAAACATGAAGGCCTTTGTGAGTATTCCACGGCTTGGGGTTGGTGAGGTGTTCGCGAGGTGTTTAACTCGTAATCTCTTTGCGCTCTCGATCGGACTTTATTAGATTTTGCTGCTTGCACGTATTCTCGCTCGCGTCTTTGTTGCTCTAACGAATAAATAGTTTCTCGGTAATTTTACTCGAAAATTATGTGTTTCCTCGAGTTCATCCGTCTTTTGATCGGATTGTTTTCATTCTCTATTGTGAATAAATATAGTGTCAATTTCAAAACTTAGAACGATCTTTAAATTACTTCGACTTTTTTCTTCTAACAATATTACTCGTATTTTTTTCTGATAATCGCTGTGAAAGTTTCTCTCGGCTTTTAAGTATCTCATTCTGACGCTTCATAATTGAAATCAAACGAGAAATAGAATTAACACAAGATTGCATTTAGAATATCGGAGTATCTTCAAGCGAAAGATAAATGCAACCGTCTTGCAAGCTCGAAAGTTTTCCATTCGGATCAATAATACATATTCGCGTCTATTAATGCGTCTCCGTTGTACCGTTGCATTTCTTCGCCTCTTACTGCAACCGTGATGATTCAATGTCACGGTTGGGATACTCTCGCTATTTCTTCCGACGAGAACGCAAACAGACAAACAAGAGAGACACGACTTTCATTCATAAAACAAAGAAATCTTACCGCATCGCGCGCCAACCGCTCTCGGCGAAACCGGTTGTCGTAGCAGCATCATCATCATTGAGTAAACGGAACCGGTTCTATTCCCGATGCATCTTCATTCACGAATTCCGCGATCGTTCATACGCATCTTGTCACTCTTTACCTTACTTTCCTCGTATCGTCTTACGTTCGTAACATTTATTGTATTGACAACATCGTTGCGTTCGGCTTCATTTATTTTCTGAAAATATAATATAATTGTCAATCCCGTTAATCGTTCGATCTTTCTACTAATTATTGTAGTATCAGTAAAACTCTTCGATAACGATATTTTCGTTGCATTGCGATAGACATTATCTCAATGCAATGTCTTCGCAAATGTCGACGGAAGAGACGGATAGCGAGCGAGCGACTCGGTCGCACGGGCGATTTTGAAATCGACACACGATCGATCTTTTTCCGATCGCGAGGTCGCGGGAACGCTCGGTCAACCACGTCACACGAGCGCGGCCGAGGTGATAGTCGATTCGTTTACGTTCCGCGGATGTGAAAGTTTCGCGAAGTCGTTAGATATGCATAATTCCAGGCCGCGGTGCCATTTAAGTTTGCAACGGTCTCCAACCGGGCGTGACACACACGCCGTCGTGTCTAATGCCACTCTCGCACGCGATCGCGAAATATCGGTTACGTATGTTAACAGAGCACCGATATATCTAATCGGTCGATTGCTCGACACGGGTCTACGGCCGCGTTAAACATTTCCTTTCTAAACGCCACTTCCCGTATTACGTATTCAAACGTATCTCGCGAGACATAACGTAACCATAGCCGATACGTGCAATTTGTATCTAAATCTCACATTTTCCTGAAAATTTCTTAGAATTCTCGAAATTTCTTGATTGATAAAAAATTGTTTCTTAATTAATATTGATTAATGTTGATTAAAAAAAAAATGATTCCGTGCTAAATAAAATCAGATTTAATCAGCCGATTAATTATGATCCTCGTGAAATATCTCGCCCCAGTTGATTCGTATTAACTTACCGGCGTGGATTTTATGCAATCGCGACTGCACTTTTTTTACGGTTCGACGATACGCGTGTTGCGCGTGCAACGGCCTATTAGCGGATACCTTAGAAGAGTTTCTTTTCCTAATACGGTCATTAGGTGTGGCGACTAGGATAACCGATGTATGTACAAGAAAGAAAGGTGGGGAGAATCATAGCGCTATCAAGCCGATTACGAAACGTTACGGCGAATAGTTACGGATATTTCATCTCGTCGTTCAATGTATTCGCGCGCATTTCCCACTGCATTTTGCAACGCAACGCAAATGCACGAACTCAACACCGATGAGAGATTTCGAGATCATCATGAAGAGATCATTTAGAAACTTCCTCTCACGCGATGCCGTTTCCGTCATTTCGGAGTTTCTTCGTAAACGATCGCGAGCCGACGTTCGCGGAAATCAAAAGTGAAAGCCGCGATTATGTTGCTTCTACCTGGTAATCGGCGTCAAGCCAATGGAAATCTAGATCCGTAACGGCGATAGCTACTCAACGACGCGCGCATGCAACGCTTCCGTAAATCATGTAATACTCATCGTCCGACGTTTTTAAATTTTAAAGGTCTTGATCGAAAATCGGATCACCGTCACACAAAACTCAGTGAAAATTATTTCGTACTTCTCTTCCAGATTGTGTTCGCCTGCTTAGCGGTAGCGACGGCCCGTGCCGGACTCGCCCATGGCGGTTACGGTGGCTACGGTGGCTACGGTGGCGCTGGTCTGGCCATCACCGGACGTGGTGGACATGGTGGTGCCGGTCTGACCGGTGGACTCGCCGCTGGTGCTGGAACCGCCGCCTCTCTCCAGGGTGGTGCCTCCAGCTTGGGATCTGGTGGTCTTGGTGCCAGCTATGCTGCTGGTGCGGCAGCGGCGGCTGGTGCTGCTGGAATTCAACAAATTGTCTCTGGTGGTGCGTAGCCGCATATCCAAGTCTCCTTTTACCACCGACAATGCAAAACATGTCGATGTTAAATGATCGCTCGTTCTTTTCGCAGGAGTCATCGGCGGTAGGTCCGACATTGGACCCGCTGAGGGACCCAAGGCCAACGTTGGACCCCAGACCGGACCATCTGATCTCGTAGGACCTCAGGAGGGCGCCAAGTCCGTTGGTGGACCTCGCACTGGACCGGCCAGTCTTGTAGGACCTGCTGCTGGCCCATCCACCCTCGTTGGACCGTCTCAGGGAACCGCCACCCTCGTTGGACCGTCCCAGGCTACTGCTAACCTCGTTGGACCTAGCTATGGTGGTGTTGCTTTCTACGCCGGATCTGGTGGCATCAACGGTGATGATGGAAGCTCTGGAGCTGCTGCTAACGCCGCGCCCGGTGGTGGTGCTGGCATTGCTCTCGGAGGTAAGTTTTACCGATCATACAAACAAACTGCATTACATTATTTAAGTTAATACATCTCCAATAGCTAGCTCCTTTCTTTTATTTTTCTTCTTCTATCAACCAAATGTACTTAAGTCTTCTGCTAATGATATATTTTCCAAAGGTGGTGGTGGTTTCGCCGGCGGTTTCGGCGGAGCTGGACTCGCTGGCCCTGGTGCCATTGCTGTCATCGGCGGTGGTGCTGGCGGTTATGGTGGCGCTCTCGGTGGTGGTGATGCCGGAGTCGCTGTGATCAACGGACCATCTGGCGCCATCCACGCCGGACTCGGCGCTCATGGAGCCGTCATCCCGGCGCCCATCGGCAAGTGGGCGTAGACGTTTTAAGACCCCAGCGATCTCGGCTCGGCGACGGCGGCAAACTTACCACAGTCACTTACCGGTCTCGAACGATCCTCAAACGCGCTCAACGTCTTCTTCCCAAAGCTTCGTCCAGTCTGGGAACATGGTCGGAGCGCATCTGACGCCAGTGATATGATCGATAGATCACTCGGAATCACACACATAAAACGCGGAACGGTCGACGAAGCGTAATTCGAAAGACGGACGCGCCGTGTCGGATCGAATTCTCCCGGGGATGACAACAAACGAGATTCGGCTACTCGTGATTCGCGGTTTCGCGTTTTGTTTCTCCCTCTCGCTCTCGACCCGTTACAAACTCGGGTAAAATTTAGTCAATTACCGTTCATCTTACGAGACCAACGATAAAGGCAAGAAACGACTCGTGCCGCGTTCACCGATCTCTGCTCACCTGAAGATCTCGTCGCCTCTCGACGAGCTTTCGCCCACGAATAGGCAGAACATCGCCGTCTCTCGGACATCGACATTTACCATTCATTCACGCGCATATTCCGAGTTGCAACCGCGTGCAATAAAGCCAACCGTGCACACACGTGTCACGCTGCACCGCCATGGGCCTGGCAAATGGACAAGCTTTGGTACTTCGTCGTCGGATCAACCGGATCTGTTCTGTTTTCTGAACACTTACCGTTGTTCCGACACTAAGCTCTTCTTCTCTTGCGTCTTCCACCATCCGTAAGGCCGCTGCTCTTCACGTACATATTTACTACTTCTCTTTTTTTTTCTTGGGTCGGTCGCGCTTCTGAGCGCACCTTCCCGCATGTTGTTATACTTACTGCCGCACTTTCCCCAAGCATACATATTATTATTACATACTCGTCCATGCACATATATGTTTTTCTTATATATATATGTATACATACTATTATCTATTATTTTCGCACATATATATATATGAACACATTACCACATGCGCGCTCACATACATACACACACATACACCATATTACTATATATGTGTATTCGTATATATTTACACACAATTACACATATATTATATAATCGTGTTATATGTTAGTGAAAAGGAGAGACCGGTAGATTATGGTAGGTCAGCCTTTTTTGTGAGTGAATGAATGTAAATAGATGGCTCGCCGCCGCCGGCCTCCGACCCCGCCCGCCCTCGTCATACCCTTTCTTTGCGATCACGACTAGCACCCCACCACCACCATAGATAGATACCACATATTTATAGCGTTTATACATTTATACAATACTTTATATAAAATAAAGCATCAGTATTTAAAACTCACTCTTGTCTATCATCAAATAATTATATCTGTTCTTCCTTCCCTTTCCTTTACTTCACCCATTGCATTTCTTAGTTCATTTTATTGGCTTTTAATCTCACGATATTTTCATTAAATGTTCGATATTATCTAGTTAAAATTTGATTATATACAACGCTTATAATCATCATTCAAAAATAATTACTAGAGTAATAACAAGTATATTAATTTATTCATTATTTTGAATTAAATTACATTGCATTAAAAAAAAATATAACAGTCTACAAATTTAAATTAAATGGTTTTCAACTCCTTCATTCTTCCAACTCTTTTAGACTCAAAACTAAATAAAAAATAGGTTTTGTAGTTATAAATTAGTATTAGTTTAGTATATCTCTTTTTAGATAAACATTTATTGCAGTTGTTCAAACTACTAACTAATATATGAGATTGTTTTTTAAATATTTACATGCATCAATAATGCGAGATTTTTATATAGATTTCCTTGGATTTATAAAAGTTGATATTTATTTAATATATCTGAACTATATTGGATTTCAGTATAACTGATTAAAATTTATATATAATCATGATTGCCGCTTTATTCACATATTGACAAATTTAATTCTTTTTTCTGATTATTGCACATACATTTTACTGCTAAATAATATTTTATACTCTATCTTTATAATAAAAATTAATTAAAAATATTTCACATAATTGAGACATCGTATGCAATAAGGAATAAATTAAGCATAAGTTTACACTGTTAAATTAAGTGTCTTCATTCTGTCTATACTTGCGGATTGCATAATTTACGAGCTTATTTATTAAAAGATTCGTGGAAGTAGATGTGGCTCATATAAAACAATTAACAAGAAAGATGATATAAATGACATTATTATGCAATACAAATACAGTAATAGTATGTTATCTTTGCTATAGTATTTTTTACGATGGTAAGTATAAAATTTAGCAAACAAATAATGACAAGAAAAGAAAAAAAATATAATGATAACATAAGATAATTTACATTGTTTGAAAAAGTTATTTGGAAAAATTAATCATTTACCAAAGAATTTATCTATATATTATCAATATTAAAATGTAATAATAGATGCATATTATATCTTCCATTATTATATGGAAAATTCCTTATTTACCTCATCTTCATAATGGCATCTTATTAAAGTGCCCTCAACTATAAAGCACAAGTTATACATTATTTAGTTTTTAAATATTCTTTATTTTCTGAGATGCCTCTTTAACATCAAGTTTTGCTTTCTCTCAAATTAAACGAAAAATATAATAATTATATTTTATTATAATATTAAATA